CCATCCATCCATCCATCCATCCATCCATCCATCCATCCATCCATCCATCCACCCAGCCAACCAACCATCCATCCATCCATCCATCCCAAAACTCTCAACATGTCCTTCCAGTTTTATGGGTTGCACCTTGAGCTCAGATCCTCTACCAGAAGGCTAGAAGCAGCTGTTCTTTGGACTGCAGTTTTCTACACATATTAAAACAGTGGGTCTTGGGATCAGTTGGTGCCACTCTCCCAAAGATCAATGAGACCACAGAGATGTTGACACTCCACAACCACTCTTTCTTCCTTTTGAGGCCTTGATATTCCCTGAGCTTCTCCTGTTCCTCAGTCCTAATGTTGCAGTTGCTTGTGCAACATTTAGCACTACTGTGTTCTTCTGCTGTTTATCCACCACCACCATATCTGGTTGGTTAGCCATTACTTGTTTGTCAGTCTGGAAGTCCCACTGTATCTTAGCCCAATCACTCTCCAGTGAAGTTTTCCAGGTGCCTCTGTACAGTACTATAAATCATTTGGTTAAGATGCTTTGTGTAGAACTGCCTGCTCACATCACTTGTCTTAGGCGAATTACGCATCTGCACCTTGAGTCCTGTCTGGTGTGGTTAGACCCCAGTCTTTATTGCCTTCGTGCTGCCATGATTACTGCCTCTGTGCCTTGCTTTAGTTCAGCCTCGTGCTACTTAAAAAAAATTAAAAACGGTGTTTCCTGTGAGCTGAGTTAGCCTGTGTGTGGATAAAAATAAAAACATGCTCACAAATCCTAGTATTCAGTCTGAGTACYGAAAAAAAGTTTTATTGATTTATTTTTTAATTTAGTGGCAAACAGTTCAGTCATTTCTTGAAAACGTTGCAGCCATTGTTGTGATTATTTTTCTACTTCCTTGTTCTGTAGGGTTTAGATGGCCCTACGGGTGAAAAGGGGGCTAAAGGGTCCCCTGGCCAAATTGGATTACCTGGCACAATGGTACGCAACAGTGCCCCTCAGGCTGCATCTGTCTGTGCATTCTTTTTCCCTGCAGGGGAGGGGGCTCAATGACATTCATTTTTTTCTCCCTGAGTGATGAATAAAAGTAGTTTAAAGATAATCTGTTCAATGTTGTGTCTGTGTCTTTACTGCTTTTTGTCGCAGGGCCCTAAAGGTGAATCTGGAGGTGGAGGAAGGTCAGAAATGGTAAGGGTCAGTCAGGTCCAAAGTTTCTAATTAGTACACACATCATGCAAAATGAAATCCCCCGACATTTTTTAATGAGAAATGTATCAATTTTGAAAATCTTTTTCTTTGTTTGGTTTTAGATGTATGGTCCTCCTGGGCCTCCAGGACCCTCTGGACCAGTTGGCCCCGCAGTAAGTCAAATGTGTCATTGACTTTCTACAGTCAATCATTTTTTATACAGTTGTTATAAATAAAGTTATTTTAGGGCACTTCACTGGAAGGATCATTAGGAACTAAACTAATAATACTTCCAGTGAAGAGCCCATGTTTAAGGTCGTATTCAGACCTGACAATTTGCTCCGCTTTAAACGAACCAGAGTTCGTTTCCAGCGTTGGTCCGGACCTTTTGTGCAGGTGTGAATACACTCGTGTGAACTCTGGTGCAGATCAAACAACCGGACCGAGACCCGCTTTTTGAGGTGGTCTTGGTCCACTTTCAAACTAGCTCTGGTGCGGTTCACTTCAGCTCGCTTCTGGTGTAAATACAGACTGAACTCTAACCGAACCAACTGCATAAAACTTTTTGGACTTCACAGGCCACCATTGCTGAGCTAAATAAACTGAAATCATACCTGTTTCGTCGTCTCCTGTTAGCAGCTCTGCTGSCWGCATGAAGTGGGTCAGAACATGCAGAGCACCTCGTCTCCTTTGGGTTGTGGGACACATTTACTGACGTCGCTCCAAAATTAGAATATCATCACCWCCATTAAATTAGCTGCTTCTGACATTTTAAATGCTATTGCAGTTGTACTATCAGCAAAAATGTGCGCATCAGAACCGCAGCATGCAGGACTTCCTTGTTTTTTTCTAGGTCTGTGTGCTCAGTCCCGCCCCTGTCCTTTCTCTCCAAGGGAGCAATGATTGTCATCCTCATGGCTTTCTTTGCAAGTTAGTTTGTTTGTAAAAAAGCACAATGTGAATGCAAACTGCACCAAATGAAAAAAAAAGTCCACTTTTGTTCCGGACCAAACAAGCGGAGCAAAGAACTTTCCTGGTGTGAATACACCCTAAGAGTAAAATGTTAAGGGTAAATTTTTTTTCCCTCAGAGTTTGAGTTTAGGATTTTTCATTATTCTTTGTTTTAAACTGAAAAGGACAGATAATGATCAATTTTAACACATGCTGAATCTAAATTATGTTAATATTATTACAAGTATAAGAACAAAAGAATTGCTTACAGACACTGAAAATAAAACTTAAGGCCTATGAAGATCTACAGAACCTAAAGATTATACAATTGTTAATGATCCTGTTGTTTCTATTCCATCCAGGGGCCTCAAGGGCCATCAGGGTCTAAGGTAAGGGACAGATATCTGAAATACAATAACATATTTTTCTATGTATTTTTTTAATATTCTGCTTTGAGTTAAACTAATGCACATTGATTTCCTTCATAAAAATAAAAGAATGGGATTCTGTTTTGTCATATTCCAAAGGGTGAGCCAGGCATGGCTACCAAAGGAGAAAAGGGAGACATAGGTCAGAAAGGTGAAAAAGGAGACAGAGGCCATCTTGGACTACCTGTAAGTGCATTTGTTGTTTGTTCACTCTGTTTTAGTTTCAAACTCACTGCTTAAATGGTCTTTAAATTAAGACACTTTTATTATTTGAATGATGGTGTCTATAACAGGATTCTTGGTAAAAAGGTTCTGCTTCATTCATATTTGAGGCCATTTATTTTAGCTTAATGTTAGAAATTGTCATTGGTCTTTTTTGGCATCAAGTAACATCAGCTGAAAACAGTAATGGATAGTGGTTTTATAACCACCCCAGTAAATACTAAGCTTTTTAAAGTAGTGACTTTATGGCAGACATAAAAAATAGAAAGACAAATGCTCAAGCCCAAATTCCTAATAAATATAAATCATTAACCCTAACCGCCCCGTTAGGGCGAAGTTTAGAATACTGTTTTATGTGGTCGGTGAGGATGATAGTATCACATACTCTGCAGTCTTGGCTCTCTATTTCCCCCACAGTAACTGAGTTTAACTTTAAGGAAACATTGATCAACATTTTTCACCATTTTGCACCTTATGTTGCTATCAGGACCTTTAGAAATTTCACTGGCACCATTAAGTAGCATTAGTGGACTGGATCTCAAAATATTCTTCACAGGCTCTTTTTTAAGGTGATTTAATTTGGAGCCAAGCTTGTTTTTTTTCTGTGGTAGTGATATTACTGCAGTATGTGAATTTTTAGGTGACAATGACTTAAGGTTATTTGGCAAAAATGTCAGCATTGTGAATGCCACTGTCAATACGTTTATATACACATCATGATGTTTCACCATGACTGTAAAAACATTCAGGCCATCAGTGTGAAGAACTTATCGTCCTCCATGACCACCTAATGTTATTCACTTCAGCTCCACCTTCACTACTTCCATCACCCTTCATTTGTCATCATGTGAATGTTTTGTTGAAGTCACTGGAGTCACAGCTTTACTCACCCCCCCTCCCCCTCCTCACCCCACCCTTCCCCTCACCCCACCATCCCAACCCACCACCCGTTCTCTCCGTCATCTCTGCTCCCTAACCGTGTACAATGACATGCAGGGGGCTCATGGGTTAGACGGCAGACCTGGTCCAGTGGTGAGTGGCGCGAGTCCCTATCCGGTGCCCCCTAAACCTCGTCCTCCTCCTTTTCCTCTACCTCCTCTTCCGACCCACAACCTCCCTTGCTCCTGCTCCTGCCTAAAGTCTGCTATGTCTTCTAGTCTTTGTTGGCTTTTTTTCCCCTTTACTTTTTCTTGCCATGTCTTGTTTCATTCAAGTATAATCTTTGTGAGGACGGGACTGTTCAGGATTGTGTTATGTACCATGACTGTGCAGCTATTATGACTGTAGGACTATCTACCTTTTTGGTGAAAAAAAATCTACCTTAGTGGAAAACATAACTATACGTACAGTATGTGTGATATATGAATGACATGTGTCAATATTGATTACTTGTTGGAACACTTAGGAATCACAACTAAACTAGCTATCATTACAAAATATAACAACTAACGTCAACGCTCATAATAAGAACTACAAATTAAAGCTATTCTGGCTTTCGCAAAAATAACAGATCAATGTATCCGTGCAAAAGGTATCTTTAAGCTATCCAACAGAAATTACTAAAATATACTTCTAGAGCAATCAATATCCTCTAAGTAGGTTTAAACCAGGGGTACCAAAACTTTTTTCCCTGAGAGAGTCAAAATGAAAATGTATTGAACAGCTGGAGGCGGGCCAACTTCAGTGATACTGTATACTATGTAATACAAAACCTTTTTAAGTAAAGTCCTTTTATTTTATTTTTTAAAGATTAAGCAAGCAGTCTATGCGATGACCCATGTTTTTTGTTTGTTTGTTTGTTTGTTTGTTTGTTTGTTTGTTTGTTTGTTTGTTTGTTTGTTTGTTTGATTAGCCTGTGCACTTGAAGAAAGTTTGACATATTCGAGCAGCAAAGGCTCATCCTAAACTGATCAGCTGTTATGAATGTATGGTCTTATAAAGTTTAAAAATCTACGTGTGCTTAAATCTAATTTAAATTTATTTTGTAGTTACTTATATTTCATGTTAAACAGTAGTATAAATAAAAGATAAAGCAAGCACTGTGAGTGAAAACTGCGCTACAGTCCCTTATATCAGGGGTTCTCAAGCCATTTGGGTCTGTGGACCCCTTACAAGGCTGAAAAAATTCCAGGGACCCCCTCATAAACCCCATGCTGTTTAAAAAAATAATTTATTGTCATCTCCACCCCTAAATGTCATCAGAATATATATTTTTATTATTTTATTGTGTTTGTTTTATTGGTTCATTGTTCTCCATGCATTTTTAAAAATAAAAACCATATTGACTGTAAGAAAATTTAGTGTTCGTTAACTGAAATCGTGACAAAACCACATGAATGTTGAATAGATTAAAATGTGAAGAGATGGACCATACAACACCAGTGAGTGGAGAGAATGGTGGTTTAATGCTCTCTGTTCAGACAGGAAACCAACGGTGCATGAAAACTGGAAGTCCCGGTTTATTAATATATGTTCTTCAGTACCTGGTACGCCTACTACAGGTCTACGGCTGAATCGCAGACACTCTGAACAGCAATGCTCTCCTAATGTTTTTATTAACGGTTTTATTATGTGTTGTCATGATGCTTCAGGCATGTATCTAAACCTATTTTAATCAAGACATATCAATAGTCAAACAACAAATTATAAGAATCAATACTTAAAAAGGAAAACTATGAATATGGTGTGGTGCCTTTAAAATACGTTTCTAAATGACTAAATAAATTTCTTCAACTTCCCCCTGTTCGCATGACATTTGCTCAYGTGAACAGACAATTTAGTGAAATATTTTTAGGACCCCCAAGATACCTCTCACGGATCCCTGTGGGTCCCGGGACCCCAGTTGGAGAACCTCTGCCTTATACAGTGGAGATACAGTGTTTCTACAGAAGACAACAAGAGATTACAACCTTGTATTCAGGACAACTACTGGTGGGCCAAATCAAATAGCTTGATGGACCAATTTTGGCCCATGCGCCCAGTACCTCTGGTTTAAACAAAGGCAACAAAACTTCTTTTTATTTTGAAAAATGATTCACTTCTTGTCCAAGAAGCTTTCTCGGTTCTAACTGAAAGGTTCAGAGTTCTGAGTTTTTAAACTAGTGAGCGCCACTGTTTTTGTGATTTAAGCTGACATTCAAATCCCTCTCCTTCTCCTTCCTCCTGATTGGCTGTTAGAGTTTTCATAGGTTCAGATTCAGATCTGCATTGTACTGTACTGACAAAGCCTGAAACCTCCTCTTCTGTTCAGTGTTGGTCCTTGTTGTTTGACAAAAAAATTGTTTATTTTTGCACCTCTTAAACCGTCTAATTTTCTCTGTGCTAAACATAGAAATGTCCGTGTGTGGATTCAACATGCAAAACCAAAGCAGTTTAAAAGCTTTGGATTCAACATTTTTCTGTTAAAATTGTGAAAGCTGGATGAGAAGCAAAATGTTTTAAAAAAAAGCTCTTCAGTAGCCTTTTATTGAACCTACTAAGACAAAAATGGCTCGGATGACTGAGAGCCTTCCAGCAGGCAAAAAACAGTAAAGCCCCACATTCAACACGTTCACAGCAAAGATTTGTTTTCTATAAAATGCTTACAAAAATTATACTTTCTTTTAGTTTTAGCTAAAATATAAATTGTAATTTTTGGTGTAAATGTTAATTTTAATGCCTTTTAATTCCCTACATTTTTTTTGTTTAATATCTAAATACGTTCAAAATATGATTTTTTTTTTTATTTTAGAGTGTAAATGAGAGCTTTCTTCATGTTTGTTTTGGTTATCTCTCCTTTCCCACAATTCCAATGACCAATCTGGCTCTATAGGGTCAATATTTAGCCCTCTGTTAACAAAACTGCCAATATCTTGCTTTTTTGTTAGTATTTATTTATTTATTTATTTATTGTTATTTTTTGTAATACGTACAATACACAAGAAGAAACGTACCAAGAATCAGCAAGGAATAGCATCCCTTTGCTGTAAATCTACTAAAACTTTGTTACCTAAAACACTGTAGCTTAAGAATAAAATATAATTTTTTTTTAAATTTGAGAATAATGACAAAAAAAAGACCTCACTAAAACCAAATGTTGGCCCATAACATGGGAAACTACGCCCCATTTAGGTTTGCTTTTATTATTTTATGTTCTGATTTTTCTCATCTCAATCTGAACATTGAATTAGCCACCAGGACTGTAAAATGTTTTCTAGTCATTTGAACCATTTGAAGTGAAAAAAGAAAGAAACTCAGATGAATACAAAACTTATACTGGACTTTTTGGGAATGAGCCTCTGTCCTCAGTCTTTCCTCAGCATTTTCTTGCCACCTGATCATGAACTAGCAGCAGACTATAAAGCTGCTGTATCTTAATGTTCTTCCAACTGAGCATGCACATATGCCCATGCTGCATGATGATATGCCCTACAGAATATCTGGATCGTTCTGTTCCATACAGCATTGTACCGACTCCACATGCCTGAGATGCAAGGTTTTTCTCTCCCATCCTGACTTCTACTCCGACAGAGAACAGCTGTTAACTTTTAATTCATTCTCCTTTCTTTTTAACTCGTTAGACAGTAGTTCAACAAGCTTTTTCAAAAGTTTTGTTTTTTTCTTGTCTGATCAGGAAAAATTTGGTCTTGTTTGTCCAAAACTTAATGTTTCACGAAATAGTGTATGTTCACCAGAAAGCTTGTTGATTTACTGGTTTGGTTAAATCAAATCATTTACTTRTGTTTTTCCTGTCCTGTGTGTTTGCTTATGCTCTGAGGGATTTATGTGTCTTTCCTGTTTTACAGGGTCTAATAGGACCAGCAGGTGTGCCAGGGCCCGCTGGACCAAAGGGAGAGAGAGTGAGTAACTC